GTCGACTCAGCCTCAAACGAGTAACTGGTGTGTGAACATCGCCACTGGGGAGACAAAGGCGGCCCGGGTGTGGTGAATCCAAGTCCCGGGCGAAGCCGGGTAGTAAAGCTAGTATAATAATAATAAAATATGGCCCTTCTTCACCCCACAGCAGGATGAAAGCCTCCTCACACCTGGCTATTGTTTAATCATATTCCACTACTCTGATCAGTGCGGGTTGTATGTACGTTGATATTCCGTAGCCAACCATGCTAATCGGAGGTGCGGGGAAAGGACAACAAACTAAACACAAAAAGCAGTTCTAAAAATAATTAGTTTTCAAACCAGATTGAAAAGTGCATAGCTCCAGTTCCAGATGACCGCAGAAGCGCATCTGAAAGCACGCAATGCAGGGACCGTCTTTGTTCGATGGTTATCCAAAAAGCCGCTGCGAGGATGACCAGAATGTGCATGATTGTTCATGCTCCTTGACGAGATCAGCAAGGTAATGTGGATCATTTGTGGTAAGCACTTTGTGTTGTAAGGAGTGCGACCTTGCAAGAGGGCGACCACTGATGTTAGCTGTGACTGGCCATTGAACTCAGGCCATTGGATTCATGGAGCAGTGAGATAACCACTGCGGAGACACACCACCCATTGACCTTATGTTAAAAAATAAAAGCTAGTTGCTTCGAATATCACCATGTTATCTTTTAACTATTCATAGAAATATATATTTTGCAAGACTACATTATGGAGGATCTTTTTGGTTAAAATATATTTTCCAGTATTTAATACTTTGGAATGTGCTTTCGAAACAAAAAACGAAAAATTATCTTAATATAATAATTCACATTCATTAACTACTCTGAAAGATATAAATGAAAATATCTTACTTTGATTTCGAAATATATTCAGACTTTTTTTCATGTAAAAGCACTTGCAAGGGACTAACGACATTTTTTTATGTAAATGAATGCATAAAATTCCACTCTTTGGTGAGCTGAAGGAAATATAAATGATTTGTGGAAACATTTATACATGGATGCACCTGGTGACCTGCTGAAAGAACAGGAAGCCTAGATGATAAATTGGTCCCTGGATGTTCTTTCAAGGTGATAAAAATGCGACTTGAAGGCAACCGGCTACGGAAGCCCATTCTTTTTAGACTATATATCTTGCTTCTATTTGGAACTGAATCTTTTATTTGGTAAATATATATGAATACCCTAACGCATGTATTTTGTATAACTATGCTTTAAAATAACTTAAGTAATAACATCGTAAAAAAAAAAAACGTAATCTGTAAAGCCAGTAGATGACGGTGGAATCCACAATGCCCCAGGAGTATATAAAAAGAAAATCTGCGATAACCTGTTCTTTTGCAAAAGGAGGCTACAGCGTATTTTAATAATGAAATCATAATTTAAAGTTCTTTATCATTAAAGGATGAAGGCTTCCCCACAGAATGATGGGGGTTGTTCAATACATAAAAGGTAATTCTAAATTTGAAGCTTTCGTGACTGCAAGGATTCATACTCTTTGGTTTTTTCGGTAAAGTCACGTAGGTAAAATAAATGAAAACAACTAAATTGAGTTTTTTCGGTAAAGTCACGTAGGTAAAATAAATGAAAACAACTAAATTTGAGTTTTCATAATTTAGTTGTTTTGATTTATTTTACCTACGTGACTTTACCGAAAAAACCAAAGAACATAAAAGGTAATTTATACAGTATTTACAATCTGAGTACGATGTTTCACCAGTAATTACAACTAACGATGAAACTAGTTGTAATTACTGGAGAAACGTCGTAATCAGATTGTAAATGTTGTGGATTTGCTCTCTAACACACCGGTGTGCTGTACTAGTAATGAATTGGCATGTTCTGTTGACGTGACAAATACTAATTGGCTGTGTGGGGTGGTGGCGGGTTTAACGACACATATATTTACGCGATCTATCTAAAAAAAAACCTGTATTATGGATGGTATTGGTCGCAAAAGCCTACTACGTGTTAAACTGAAATTTAATATTTGTAACACACTTAAAAAAACAGATAAATGCTGAGATGGAAGTGCGGATGGCACAGAAAAAATACACTAAATTAAAATCAATAGAAGAGAAAACAGTTTTATCCTAGTCTTAAAAGCACCAGTTAGCACAGCTGAGCAGACTTCAGTCAGCAGAGACTGTTTCCCACCACCGGAGCTACAGATGAAAAGCTCCATCCTGCCGTTCTAAGCCGAGTGAATCTCACACACAGTAACAGCAGGTCCATAGCAGATGGGCCTAGGTTTCGTTATGGTACGTTTGAGTAGATGGCATCACACAGTTATGTTGGTTGACCTATTGCCTATTGCCATGAAAGCGAGTTTTGCGACCTTGATTAGCCAGCGCAGCTCCTTCAAAAGGTTTGAAGAGCTCTCGAGAGGTGGGGCCAGGCAAACGACTCTGGTGAGGGTGTTTTGGAGATGCTCGAGGCGTTTGCTAATTGTTTGACCATACTTCACCATGCTGCTCAGTGCAGCCTGGTGTGGGTTTGGTCAAGTGGATGCTGAGGACCGGTTCGGATGACCATGCTCGTCGCCAACGCTAGCCATGGCCAGGAATGGAACATCGGACTGCTGAGTTCACAGCTTAGTGTGCTAACCACTGTGCCACTGCTCCCCCCTGACATGTCTTATCCGAAACAATAATAAGAATAAATACTAATCCGAGAACAGCTGAGAGAAGGAGACTGAGTCAACAGGGAAGATATGTATGTATGTTGAACTTCTTTCGCACCGTACGTAGCCAACCATTGTAATCGGATGGGCTGCCTTCTAGTAATCCGTATTTGGGTTGCAGTATTCCACATGGTCAGGACATCATGGCAAATTGTATTCCACCAATGAGTAGTCTTCTTCCAGTCATTACCGCACCCAGCATGACTGTGGTCCTCAGCAAAGAATGAAGCATTCAGCTGGCTGATGGGGGGGACGAGCTGAGGGATAATGTACACACCGATTGGTCACCAAATGGCAGGGGCAGCCTTGTAAAATTGCACGGGGCCTTTCAGTAGATTTTCTGAGGTCTATAAATGTGGCCCTTCCTATTTCGTCCACCCAACCCCACTCCCCAAGATGAAAACAAAGACCCCCCCCCCCCCCCATATAGCCTTTAACAGACTTCATGGGCAAGTGGTGTTAGCGAGCACCTATTAATTCCCACCCTCCTCACCCTCCTCAGCTGCGGCTGGGGTGAGAAAGCAACCTGAGATAAATTAATTTGTTTTATGCCATGTCTAATGTAGACATGGGTGAAGGTAAGCTACTAAAAGCCAGTGTTCATTAAGTCAGCCGTTTTATTTGTTTATTTTAGTCATCGGCCGAGTATAGCTGATTACAACGCATGGAATTCTGGTCGGGGTTTAGTCTTTGGAAATTCATTCAGTAATTATCTTAGTCTTTTTGACTAAAGGAATCAAACACTTCGTCAGTTATTAAATGTTAGTGTGAGGTGCGTGCAGTTTAATTATACCGCTCGCCCCTCATGCAATATCCAATATCATCTGGTCAGCCAATTTTCATTTTTAGTCCTCAGTGCACTGCTGTCCTTATAAAACGTTATTTAATCATCTTCGTCTTGATGCAGACCAATTAATTCCATCGTTTCATAGTCATGTCGAGGTGTTTGGTGGGCACATGTAGCCATTGTCATAATAATCATTGTCTACTCAGTCATCGTTTGTTCAAAAAAAAGTTCAAACTTAATCGCTGAATATTGACGTAACAAATTTTCTGAACAAACATGTTACATTTATGCTGTAATTGTTGAGGTTTTAAAACCCCATCCCATGTGCCTTTAACACGGATAAAAAAACCGTGCAAAGTGGAACTCAGTGGGTGACCTCACAGTGCATGCATGCAGCACAGTGTCGAACGGAATGCCTGTGGCCCTGGGAGCTGAGTTCACGTGTCACTGGGGTTGGCTCAGGAGGACTTGGAGGACTGCCGGTTGAACGTGGGCTCATAGGTCGGACTAGGTTCTGAACGATTTGGGGAAAAAAAGATCTCATTGCGATTTTTCCGACAGATGTTGCGATTGTGATTTGATTTGCGATTAACATTTTTTAAGTCAAGCTTCAGTTACATAGTCACAGTGTAATAGATTTAAAACATGTGATGGAGCATTACCACATGATACCATCAAAATATGGACTGCTCTATATATTCTAATGCAACGATGAGAACCTAAAAGACATGAATTGCTTCCAACATGAATTTATTAAAATGTTTTAATTGAAATAGAACAATCAAACATAGAACAATTGTTAAGTTAAATAAATAAAGTTATAAAATAATAATAATTTTTTTTAAACAATTCCAATAAGAAAGTAATAGGACTTTTCAAACCGCAAAAAAATCGCAGCCTTTGCGATTTTGCTAATCGCATTGTTTCAAATTGCGATTTCGATTTGAAATCGATGTAATCGTTCAGCCCTAGGTCGGGGCCAGATCAAGCACCGAACCTGCACAATTCCCCCCAGTGGCCGCTCCCAGGCGATGTGTAACACGCCGCCTCTTCCCTGGTCCCGGTAGCCCCAGCCCAGGGTAAGAGCAGACGCAAAGCACGCACGCGCGTTCTCCAAGCCTCCAGATCTAATCTCGACCGCCCAATGCCGCTTGCTCGAGGTGAAGCTCGGGAGGGAGGACGGCGATGGCATTGATGGTGTGAGGTCAATAGATAGCAGCGGAAGGTCCGATTGGACCTCAAAGGCAGATTTGGCAAGAGAGAAAGAATGAAACCTCTTGATTTCAAGCTTTCGTGACTGCAGGAATTCATATTCTTTGGGTCTTTCGGTAAAGTCCCGTAGATAGGTTAAAAGAAAATAACCAAAAAAATACGTTTCCATCACCAACACAAGCATTCGCTTGTGTTGGTGATGGAAACGTCATAGTTTTTTTTGTTAGTTTTTTTATTTTCTTTGAACCTATCTACGTGACTTTACCGAAAGACCCAAAGAATAAAAAAAACTCACCTCTGTCGCAGGATCGCCCGGTGAAGCCCGTGGCGGTACAGTCGCACACGTAGCGGTTCCAGCCTTCGTGGCACACGCCGTTGTTGCGACACGGTCCCGAGCTGCACTGCTTGGGGGAGTCCTTGGCGCAGTAGGGCTTCACTCCCGCGGAGCTCTGCTGCTCGGCCAACAGACGGATGTCCTTACTCTGCCCGTCCACGAAAATATCGCGCACGCAGCCGACATATCCTTGGTTGAGCAAGGCCGTCCACAGCTCGGTTGGGAGCAGGAGGTCCAGTTTGTCCTCCGGCAGACCTCCGAGGTACATGTCGCCATCCAGGTCCAGAATCTCACTCTCTCCGCTGGCGGTGAAAGGGCTGCGCTGGCTGTTCACGGAGATAGTGCCTGCAGACAGACGCCGCGGAGGACACCAAATGACAACAGATTGTCATGTAATTCCACGTTGAAATGCACTGAAAAGGTGCTACACCCCGCATTTTTTGGTGGCAATGTGGCCATGTTCATAAAGAAGAGGTAATTAGTAAATTTAACAGGAGGATTTGGATTAATATATTAAATACAATCCCATAATTGAGCGCAATAGCATTATTTTGACGAGGATTACATTAACAATAATTACAAATATTCTTGGTTCTTTCGGTAAAGTCACGTTGAAGGGAAACAATAAAATATGTAAATATATATTTATTGTTTTATTTTATTGTTTCCCTTCAACGTGACTTTACCGAAAGAACCAAGAATATGAATCACTGCAGTCACGAAAGCTTTAAATCAAAATAATTACAAATGTTAAATGACTAATTCTAGTGAAGGGCTTTTTTAATGCAAAATGTCGTTCGTTAAGCACAACTGCAAATGTGTTTTAGGGAAAAAAAAACAGATGCTATATCGTTATCCCCATAAACCTAAACCGAAAACCAATCAGTGCACAATTCAATCTAAAAAAGAGCGTACGAAAATGCACTTATTTATTACATTTATACGTAAAATAAGCGATCTTCTGAGGTTATCAAGCTGTAATCGCGGGATTATATTTGTCACACTTTCAGATAAGGTGGCAATTTCCCTCCGAAGAAGGTGGTTAGCTCAAAGATGATGCATTCCTAATTGACTGTCGGTGATGATTCCCTCCAAACTGGCATGATTAGAGAAATAAAAACAAGGGACCAAACGGGTAACAGAGCTGGGAATATTTTATATTAATTTGATGGAGATTATGCAGTAGACATCGTAGTGCATTTTTAAGTCACTTTTTGTATAGTTTGTAGTCTAGCTTGATACTCGCCCAGCATTAAAACATACTCTTTGTTTTTTTTCGGTAAAGTCACGTAGGTAAAACTATTCTTTTACAAAGAGTATGAATCCTTGCAGTCACAAAAGCTTCAAATATAGAATTAAAAACATGCAGATGAAGCGATTTTATTCATAAAACTGCAACGCCACCTCACCCAAAAACAAATATGGATCACATTAATAAAAAAAATAGGGGAATCCGACAATAATATACCAATAAGTTGAAAAAAATAATAATTTAACTGAAATTTATAGTAATTGTGTTTCATGACAATCTATAAAGGGAAACTAACCTGCCCTTCCATCTCGCTGGAAGTCCACGTGGTACCACTCGCCATCATTAACTTTCTGATCGGTGGCCTTCACCTTTATGGTACCGGAACCCATATCTAGCAAAAGGTAAAGATGCCCATCCAAAAGCTCTACGGCAAAGAAGTCCCCTTTGATGCTTTTGAGGCCCTTGGGGTCTTTAATCTCGCTGGGTTTGCCCTGGGTAAAGAGGATGAGTCCACTGGGTTCAGTCGTCCGGAAGTCGAAGGAAATGGATCCTGTGCGTTTGGTCTTCCAGCGTGGCAGGGATATGTAGGCCTCTGGTGTTTCGAATGTGATCGGGTCCATAGCTGCCACGTTCTCACAGTTGAAGGAAACATCTCCGACCACTTTCATTTTGGGTTCGCTCTCTTTTGCCAGCCGAGAGAGTTCTAACTTGATGTCACTGTTCTTATACACCACCTGTGTTAAAAACACAATAAAAAACGACAAATATAGTTATTTGTATTAACGATTGTACGTGTGTGTGTTTCATTGTAGGTAGCGATAGTGTCGTGGTTAGCGCACTGCGCTACGAACCCGAAGACAAGAGGAAGATTCTCGCTCACAGCCCAAATCGGTACAAGCAAGCAAGAGGTCGGCACTCATGTCTGTTGGCAGTTCAGAGCCAGTGATGCAAATTCCACATTCTCATAGCAGGAGGCAGTCTATCCACCAAAAAACAGCAGTGGCACGGGAGGGATGATATGCTCAGTTGACCCCTGACTTCGATTTAAACTCAATATTCCGAACGTGAGTAAAGTATTGAAGCAAACTACCGCATGGGTGCGACTAATACACGTTTCAAGACAAAAGAGGCAAAGGTGCAGCCCTGCAAATGCTTAACACTCCTGGCCAGCAGCTGGGCCTCCACAAGAGGGAGCTCTAGAGTGCTCCTCTCAAGGTCTAAATATATAATTGTTCAATATATAAACAATACATAAATGGAACATATATATGCTTAGTTGGTAAATTAACAAGTCTTTATTTCAATTATGCATATTGTCCTGCTGTAACTCCATAAATAGAGACTGTATAGACTGCATCTTGGTGCAATGCTGAGTGAGAGTGTAACATGTGGATTTTGAAAAAAATGTATATGGGGGAATTACTTTTTCTCGGTGTTAATTTCTGACTGGGAACTCCTGGCAAAGCCATTTACTGTCTACTGAAATTGAATATGTATGTCAACGTGCAAATAACTTCACAGTTAATTCAATGACCTTGATTTTAATACTGTACATGAAAGAGCTTCCTTTGGCGCACCGGTAAGTGGAATTTCCAGCTAATTTAAACTAGAAACCTTTGGAAAGCACATGTCCAATAACACACATACCCCCTCCTCTCTTTCATATTGGGTTCATACATTTTCAAAGGAAATATATTTTTGGGTAATGCGTGGAACTTTTGTACGTGAGCTGGCAGGAAAAATCCATCATACATTTTTTTCCCTCGAAAAAAATTCGACCCAGCATAGCCCAAGTATGCTGACAGCATACATATATGGCACAGACCAGCACCCACCAATGTGTTTTTTTTTATACCACCAGCATCGAGTTAGAAAAAGTGGAATGGGTAACACATCACACATCAGAGATCCCTGACAGCTGACATAGACAGTGAGTGCATTCTACTTTATTTATGTCACCTGCACGAGTAAACATTACATGCAGCTTACACGTAAACCACAAAGTTAATACCATACTATATAAAGCCGAGAATATTGCTTTTCCATAACACTGTTAAAATTGGGCATGTAATTGGGATTATTAGAAGACATTTTGTTAGCAGTATATGCTATATACATTGTTAAGATTAAATAAGCATGTAGTGTAATGAAATGGAAATGCACATGTGCTCAAATGCAGTGTTTGTGCTACCCTCTAGTGCATTTCATAGAATTTCTCTAAACTCAAAATGACACTTTACATATACCGATTTAATAGTATATCAGACTCAGAATACTTATTTAGACTGGAGGAGTCCTATTAGCTACAAAGCTTTTTTTCATAGATGTTCGGTAGGGGCAGGTAAGAACGTTACAACAACAAACAATACAAACACACGACAAGAGTGCAAGGTATAGGAAAGGTAAACAAATCAATTAAAATATATACACAAATAAAACGAAACAATGTTTTTTTTTTACCACGTAAAGCCCACTGAGCTATGCGCTTTAAAAAAAAATATTAAGCTCGACGAGGCGGCTTATCATGTGGAAATTTATAGCAGCAAAATAATCAAAATAATATAGACGCATGTTTCTAAATGTGGAGGGAAAAACTAAAGGACCTGGATAAAAAACATCCACCTGACCACAGGGAGAACATGCAATTCCAAATATACAGGTGTCATTAGAGCAGATTTCTCACTCTCGTGGAAATATACCTTCGGTAACTGAGAGGTTGAAAATGTGCATGAGATGTTTATAAATAAGATCTGCCACGGCCACAAGTTCAAATGCAGGCAACTCTTCTTCTCCCGTGGATGATGCTTCATTGATGCTAGCTTATGCAACACATCCAGTTCGGATATGGGATTGAACGAGAAGCATGGGACGATGACTCTCACTAACATTTTTAGGGGTGGTGTGTGAAGAGGAAGAAGTGAGTGATGTGAACAGTGGTGTATCAGGATACATTTTACTCCGGTGTTTTTTTTTGTCAAAGATATACCCAGCTGATTCAAAATGAAAATTAAATGCATTGACAATGTCTTGTTTCGCGAACAGTTCTTTCCCATCAAATCAGAGTATTTTGGAATAATATTTAGCTTTCCTCTGTTTTCAACTGAGTTGAACGTTTTCCAGAAAAGTCTTGGATTTTGTTGTGAATTTATAACAGTTTGGTGGTAGTAAGAACATGTAGCGTTTCTTACTTGGCGAGTACATCTATTTGTTATTGTTTCATTAATTCATCATCTTAATATTACTACTCTACGTGAGTGTACAATCGTGCCACTTAATGTGTTTATACAAATTCAAAATCGCAGCAGACATTTGGTTGTGCATTTGCGGGGATTATTATAGCTGCTAGAGTCAAACTGTGTAATCATTGTGCTCCACCAGAGTAACTGGCAAAAATGTAAAAAATCCATGTTTAAAATGACATTGTCTAGGGGTTTCAAAGAATCGCCTCCTTTATAATAATAACAACAATGGATTAGATTTGGTTATTCACACAATCCTTACAGCACAAGGATATTTCGCAGCCATGGTCTGCAACAGTTCCACTGCCACTGTGGAGCGCCACGGTGGTGAGATGTGAACTGCCCCGCCTGGTATGCAGGAGTGCGTGGGTTCAATCCTGACCCTGACGCCTGCTGTATATTTGGAGTATGCATGTCCTCCCCGTGGTCGTGTGGATTTTTCTCCGTGTCCTCCGGTTTTTTCCCTCCACATTTAGAAATAACATCCTGTTCGGGTATTTGGCTGCTATAAATTCCCACGTGATAAGGCACTTCGTTGAGCTATCATTTGTGACCAGGTTGCTTCTGAAAAAAGAGCTACGTAGCTCAGTGGGACCTTACCTGGAAAAATAAAAATGTGTGTAATTTTAAATAGTTTCGTTTCGTAGACGGCGACATTAGTACGTGTAATCCCAATTGAGTAACTTGCAGGTTAAATTTGCGAATTTGGATCATCTGGACCATGATGCCGGTACACAATGGTCGACTCGTTTTGAAGTGCGTCAGGTTATCTTTGTATCGTCCACTGTGAAACGGGTGGCGTGTTGTTTCATGGTTAATGCTGCAGTGACTCGCCAGGATGGCCTGCTGGGCCATGTCACCATCCTTTAAGACTATTTAATGTAAAAGTGTATGCGGTTGAATAGAAATAGTTCAAAATGGAAATCGTGAGAGATGTTAACCTTGAGCTCTGGTAATGTAACTGTAACAGATACTGCAGCCAGTTGTTCTTGCCATCTTGAGAAGACGTCAACATCCAATTAAAATGACAATGCAAGAACTGGACGGATCGTCATATGTTCAGTTTTAGTTTCTTTCACATCTTGAGTTTAATTGCTCAAACTACATGTAAATTGTGCACATTAGGTTTAAGTAATATTTCAATGTTCAAGTAATATTTTAACGTGTCAAAATAGATAGTGAGTTAATAGCAATCTTTAAAAAAATATATACAGATGTATAAAAAATAATAAAAACATTTCATGCACTTATGTGAAGTAACTTCACATTTCTTCCTGATAAATAACACCTGGGAAAGTTATATTTTATAACTTGTCGATGCTCACAAAACATTGTATTTTATTTGCTTCAATTCGCGACCAGTTCTGTTGCAATTGCTGAGGAATCAAGAACGTTTCAACTTCATTGTGCACCTTTTTTGTCGTCGAAAATACATTAAACTATGTTGCGTGTAAATTATTTTCCATTGGCTTTCCATTTATGAATCCTATAATATCCATTTGCTACAACAACTCTGGCTCAAGCTGCCTCGGTCCAATAATTGTCACTATTTTCCCCATTTACAACCACTGAGAATTTCAGGAAGCCACTGCAGGACGGATTGGCTGGGTCATGATGGCTCATGGGAGAGCTGCAAGCACGCTATCATTTGCCGGAATAGCTCTCCTGACAGTGTCCAACAAATGTGCTTGCCATGAGGCTGTCGCCAATTCCATCCAGGAGAGCATGCTCTATTATTTATTTTCTACAAACATTGATTATTTTAAACCTCTATTGTCAGCCTTCATGTGTGGTTACCACCATCTCTTCTGAGATGTCTGGCCACAGTGGAAGAGTAGGCCAAATACCCTCTAAAGGGGCTCCTTGGAGCTCACTCTTACCAGCAGTGGCATAGCAAGTAAATACAGGGCTGCACCTTTGCCTTTTACCATTGTCTGACTTATAAAATGTGACACGTTTGGGTCAATGTGCTGATATGAACGAAAAATAAAATCCGGACTTCAACTTAAGATTAAATTGCAAAAAAAAAGACAATGTATTGAGTATTCACATGGAATTAACCCGGTGCTTTATCTAAAGTAAGTTGGAGGCACTTTCTGTGATACAAGCCGTGTTTTTATGGTGCTTGAGCAGTTCACACAACTGCACTCTGAACCTGGTTACCCGAGTTAAATCCCGGCCACAGCTAACATCAGTGGTGAGTAGTCATCTGCACTGATCCTGCCCTCCCCCTACAACCTCATCATTTTGCACTCGCAGCTTGGTGAAATGCAAACAACCCCACAGTCTGAGGAGGAGGCCTTCATCCAGCAGTTGATTGACAATGGAGCTGCGCTGCTTCTATTCAGGCATTTATTAATATGCTAACAGGAGCTGTATTTTTTGTTTACTAACTGTATGGTAACTCATATTCTTAGTTCTTCCGGTAAAGTCACGTTGAAGGGAAACAACAAAATAATAAAATATATATAAAACAATAAAAATTCTCACGACGT